TAAGCACCAGACTACCAAAGTAATAACAGGAGCAAGGTTTTTTTTTCCCATTCTTGCCTATTTTTTATTCTCACCTGTCAGTTCTTATTCAGCACATTAAAGGCTTGACCTTTACGCATGAGTGACCTCAAGACAATCATTTGCGGTTTTTTCACATTAACCTGTCAGTAAACGCTACACATTCGGGCTGAAGGTACAGCCCCCGTGCACACAAAGACCTCCTGCATTACGAATCTGCACACTCGAAAACCGTGAAAAAAGCCGTTGCGGCAATGTGTCTCCAGTCTGCGATGTTGAAGTTTTGCGAGCACAAGATGGACAAGTTTTCAGGAACACATTTTAAGGCTGGTTGCAGCTGGTTTCCCTTTGGAGGTCTTAAGTATGGCGTGAGTACACACCTAGCATTTCATTGTGCTTCGTGTGGCTGCACTACACTGTTGCGAAAAACTCGTGCGACAGGACTAAGCAGGAAAACATTAGCATGTAAAGTACTTAAGGCATATCAAAGGGGAGCAAAGTTGTCAATGTCCCATCCAAGCAATGCATGTTTCTAAATAGGCCTGTGCGATATCTTTCTTCTGTTTGTGCATTGCGATAGTTGCTTGTGCTGCGGCCCCTTTTTCTGCGCATTCTGGGAACGTATATATTTGCGTGATGCGAGGAAAATAAACAAGTTAAAAGTCTAGTGCCCTATCTTGTCTGAATCATCTCCTTTTTTTCATTGCTTGTATCAGTTATCCACAAATATTTTAGTAGTGCCTCTAATTTCACAACAAAAAAACTGACGATTGTACACTTACACCTCCTTATAACAAAGTTGCATCTTGCACAAAAGTAAGTTCTGTATATGCATAAAATTGATTATAAAGGTTCATTTCTAACACTATATCGACTGCAAAACTATTTTTCATTTACTTTGTTATAACCAATATTTCATTATATCCGGGTTTGTTACATCGAGGTTTGAGTGTACTACTTGAAGTAGGTTACAATCATCTTTAGAGAGCACAAGGTGGCTACTAAAATATAAAAAACAAGCTTAATGTCTGCAGTCAACTGGATATTGTCAGCTGGCTGCTTACCATTATATTTTGCATGAGCAGTTTACTAAATAAGTCAGACACTCAAAATAACAATGATTGCGAAGCTGTTGTGATGAAAAAAATAATTGATAAAACAAAACAAAAACATATCTCTGCCACATAGTAGAGCTTTGACTTCTACGTTTAAAATGTGTTTATCTCAAGATCCTATTTCGGGCAACTTCCTGAGTTTACCCATCATTTTTATGGTACTTCTGATAGCCAGATCAGGACGAAGTTTTGCCCACATATTCATCAACAAGTGAAGGCTGCAAGTATCTATCCAGTTTCTATAATGCCACTATTGTTATTACGAATCTAAAGCAAACAATTATTATGGGCTGATGATTCTAAGCATTGTCGCATTACAATTTTTCTTGCCCAATAGAATGTATTATACACACTTTCTTTGTATTTATTCGCATTTTACAGTTAGCACGGAGTAGTATGAGCCCATAATGGCTCAGAACCATAAAAGTTCAGAGGCATAAAGAGTTTATCCAAAATGAACTATACATTACACATCATCATGTTACAAGGTAAAAACTGTGCAGCCTACTATAAAACTAATTACATACTATTTTAAAACAATATAAAAAACATATGACATACAGAAAAAAAATTTATCGCCCTAAACTATAGAATACTGAAATTTTTTAACCGCATTTCTACGTAATAGTAGACCAATATGTCACAGGCAACTTGCTCATGAGCTTTGCGACATTATTAATACAAAACTGTCATTATTCAAGCTTTTGCTTTGTAACACTACAGCCCAGGCATAACGGTAAAGCAGCCTTAAAAGTAACCAGCCGATACTAGATGGAAGCATCGAGCACAGGCCAAATGGCACCTTGAAACCGCAACTAAGAAGGGCACTCTGTGCATTCAATCTCTCTATTGTGAGAGCTTGCAGTGTGCAGTTGCAAACACTACATATATATAGAAATATTGCAGCAGGTTTCCTTAGTGCAAACGGCATTACCTGTCCGCCCCACGCGATTTACTGTCAGATTTAAACAGTGTACACATTTCTGTAGATTCCACAAGCAAAGCACTTGATAGAGCAGAGTAAATTATGGTTTCAACCGTGAGACTGTTCTAGCTCAGAATTGAGCGCAGGACCGTGCCCAAAAAATATCGTCCTCATGAACCAATATGCAGCACAGAATTCGGTAAATCCCTCTACTCACCGCTGCTATGGCATGACCTCTAATAATCCAGATGGGTGAGAGAAACAGCACACAAAAAGAGGAAAAGAAATAATAAAAGATATGAAGAAAGAGCAGTATTCTTGCCACAAAAATATTGTTCCCAAGGCTGAATTTCAACATGCGTTCGTTCAATGTGAAAACAAGTGTCCTAACCACTCTGCTATGCAGCGCCTGCTGACAGACCATAACATAGCCTTGTATATAGTTACAGTGTAGTCACAGGAGTGGCTAAAGCAAGTCTCGTGAGGAGAGATGCAATGATTGCCTCTTATTTACCATCGACAAGAGTAAGAGATAAACATAGAGATAGAAATGCACTACAATAAAAAAAAGAAAGACTAAGCAAGCATTGTTGCATCTGGAGACCAGATACTGCGCCACCTGATCAAGCCGCACATCTGCAGTGGCTATACGCCACACCAATCAATGGAGACATTGCGCACAACCTCCTCTCTATGGTATCTAGCCTGGCTGCACCTCATCATGTCCAGGAATTCACAAGTAGCCTTAAGAGAGTGCCCTAGGAGGAAGCTACACATTTCAGAGCTAGACACTTCGGTCGACGGGGAGTATGAGCAGCGACAAGCTTGCGCTTCACTGTGCCAACCTTTGAGCGACTTGGTGCAAGGTTCCCGCATCCTTTTTTTTTTTGCCAAGAACCCCCCCCCCCCCATTGTTATAAAATTTAGGCAGCCTAATTTCACAGAGAAATGTATTGAGTGATAGACCGCTGTGTCACTGGTGGCCAGTACAAAAGGCTTGTACCATCAGTCAAAGCTGATAAGCCGCAAGGTTCAATAGCAAGGTTAGTAAACAAATGTGTTGACAATCTTTATACTGATCTGCTGGATACTTTTGCTATACATAGACAGCTCACTCATCTGTTGCAGATGCTGTCTCTCTCACAAAATGCAGCAACTTAGTTTGTGAAATCCTTTTCTATAACTTGTCGAATGTCTCCTTTAGTTTCGAATGGTGACCATATTTTATGGACATCGCCACTGGTCAACATAAAATAGAGTGGTGCTATGAATAACACTTTACTGCTGTTTAAACTCATTTAACAATTTCCAAATTTCTTTGCACTAAGTTGCACCTTTGCCATTGCTCAGAGATGGGTACAAGGTACGTTCAAAAATTCTCTCGGAAGAGGCAGGGGGCCATGTTTTGTAGGCCACACTGGATCGACAGGTCCTTTCGCACTTTCGGACCCGGTATCTGGTTTGCATCATTCGTGTTGACCACTTATCCGCAAGGACACCTCCACGGCAGTACTCCTCTGTGAGCAACTGCAGGCAATTTTTACAAGTATCTTCATTTCTTCCATTACAGTAGAGAGACATTGCGGCTGTATTGTGAAACTATTACAAAGAAATCTAGCACAAGAGACATTGCATATTTCTCATCATGCGAGAATGCTTATAGTGTTATAGTAGTTAAGGCCCCAAGAGAAGATTGGCTCTGATTAGCACAGCAGGAGAACTGGTTGCATTTCTTTGCAGTGTGCCGTGTACACAGCTGTCTTAGATTAGGCAAGTTTCTGCTATTTAACAGTTTTGTATATATACAGTAAACCAGCATTAACAATTGTTATCTACCTGGCCGTGTGCATACTCATACAGCTTTCTCCTGCATAATTTTTTAATCAAGAAACTTTACAGCGCTGACAGTGATTGGAGATTCAACTTGGATTTCATGCTGCCAGTGAGTGACAACGTGTTCAACAGTCATTTCAGTGCGTTGCACCGGTATTAAGGCTGCTTGTTTTAAGTGGAGTGAAATATCTTGCATGACTATCATCAACCTTCCTGTGTTGCAGAGCAAATGTTTATGCTCAATGAAAGCCGTTCTCACGACGTCGTCGCCTCCCTGCATGGCCACAAAGGTGTTGAACTTGGTCACACCTTTCTGTTCAAGTGTAAGATTCGCACAGCCGACGGGGTGCACACCAGCCCTTCGTCGGCGGTGATGAACCTGCTCTCGAGGAGTTGCATCTCTTGATTGTTGAGCTCCCTTCTGTCTCTGATCTTTCTCAGCAGCGCCGAGAAGGATGCACTCGCTTGCCTGATGGCCCGCACGAGAGGGAAGTAGTCGAGCTAATGCCACTTGATGGTGGGCCCGAAAAGCCCGCCCACCTTGCGGCACCTCTTGTACACTTTATTGGCCCGTACGGGCGACACCTGTCGCAGGTCACCGCACATGACAACGTCCAAGCTGTTAAACGGTTCTTGTGCATGAAGTTCCGGATCTGCAGCTCGCTTCAAACGCTTGCTTTCAGCGTCATATGCTCGTCTCTTTGCAGCTTTGTCTTCTGCGTTGCTTGCAGTCTGTTGTTAGCACCGATGACGGTGAAGGTGGGTCAACGTTGCCCTCAACGAGTGGTGGGACGCTGATGTTCGGTTGTGCTTCACTACAGGCTGCAAGTACTGTGGCCTTCATCACATCTACTCAAGTTAAGCAAAGCGTCAATAAAATGAAAGCCAAGTAAATTCAGCCTTGACAGAATTCCGAAATGCAACCTCCGCCGCCTAATACATACCGTCCGCATTCGAAGGAGAGAGAGTATGGGGGTGGGGTCGGTCGCGGGGAGACGAGACGAGGCACGAGACGTGCCGAGCATATGCAGTGTGGGTGTGGACGGCACCTACGCCGATGAGCAACATTCTGCGACTAAGAAGTGCTCTGCATTTAAAAGTGCCGCAGCTCAGGGTGTGCTTGACAACGAGGTCTCCTCGCTGTGGTTTAGCTGGCCCGCAGATCTGGGTTTGCTGGACGATGAGACCTCTTCGGCTTTCCGGGCTGTCACGGCAAGGTCTCGGTGGCGAGCCCGAGCGGCAGTTGCGTTGCGAGCTCGCCACACAGCTGCTTTGGCTTGTAGGTTGCTCATGAGGCCTAGCAGAAACAAAAAGTGCCAACTAAATTGGCTAGAATGGGGCGTAATTAAGGGGCATCAAGGGAGAAGCTTGCAAAGCGCCACACGTTTCCCTTGCCAGACCAGAGTTATTCTTGTTTCTTATCCAGTGGCCGTTGTTATTTAACCGTACTAGTTGCGAAACTGCATTCCAACTACCCGGACATGCAAATGACCCGGTTTTTCAGAAGTTAGCAGGCTGTCGCGCCATTTGGTAATAACGACACAAAACCGAAACAATGAGTGTAATAGTGGGCATGTTGCTCAGCAGGTGGCGCAACAAAATGCTAACTCCCGGGAAGAGAGCTAAAGTGACCGGATTTCGATACATGGAGCCTATAATATGTATTGATTTGGTATATTATCTCTATGATAATATGGCCTGGCCTGGGACCCATGGTGGCACTTGTATACGTCAATTTGTGGATTCACACACTTTTGTTTTGAGGCCTGGCGCAGTGTAGAAACTACCGGGTATGGTAACGCTCGACAAAGAAGCAGTTCAGTTAGTTATCTGGTGAGTGGTGGTTGCCGAAGCTGTGCGAACAACCGTGGGCCTTAACTTATTTTCAAAGCACAGCGCTTTGCTTTAAAGAACTGCGTGCGGCTCCAAGAATGACGATTGTGTCAGGAACTTCAAATGGCATGCTTGCTATCATCTGCACTTGTAGAAGCTGATAGAAAAATAATACAAGACAAAAGCAAGCGTGCGTAGTTGTCCCACTACGTAGCTGCATACACCGAGAATGCTTTTCTATTTGCAACCAAATCAGGAACAACGTGTAAACTACACGCTATAAACTGCCATAACAAAAGCTGCTGGAGCTTGGTAAGTTGTTGTCCAAAACAAACAAATGAGCAAAAGGTTAATTATCTTTGTATCCTTTTCTATTTACTGTGGCATTCCAGAATGCATCTAAGTAATGCCTTTCTGACAAGTAATAGCAACTGCAAGGTGAACATTCCACTCGATGCGTTCAGCACCTACAGCTTGTTGCAACGTTGATCTTATTTCCACAGCACTAAAATTACACGTAAAAATTACAATGCGTACCTACTGTACGGTTCGCTCTCCTTTAGCACGCTCGTAGACATTGCTTCACTGTTGATGGCTGACATGTCTGAAAAATATTTGACATATTAAGTAATGATAATTCTTTTTCTGCAGTGCATCACTAGCGACAGTCAACATGAGTAAATGTGTCATAATCCCCCGTTGATTCTGCTACTCTGGCATTCGCCAACAATACATGGAGTAGTCAGTGTAGAGAAGCTGTTTACACTACTGCTGTGGCAGGTGTAAATGACTGCTTTGATGGGTAATAAGTGGCATCTAGAAATTCAAGGTCGTGTCAAAATACCAAATCCGAGACATTTGTTCTCGGTGAAGTCATGGGCATTGTAAGGTTTCGTCTTGGGGGCACAAACTCGATCGTGTTGTATACCAGCAGGAGTAGGGGGAGGGCCCGTTGTGGGGCAGGTGCTGGTGTGACTGGAGGAGGGGGGGCAAGTGCCGCTTTTTTGCACCCTGTAGTCGATGCAAATTAAGACTGCAGTTTGACTCAGTAATTTTGGTTCAAGGAAAACGACATCGCGAAGTACGTAGTTCATATTAAAACCACACAGGGCCGTCGCTGGGTATCAGATAACATTAAATAGTTGTCACTGATGAGTTATACTCAAGGCCAGAGTGTAGCAAAAGCAAGCTGGTTTTTGCTCATGCATGTGGAATAATGAGAAGCTTAAGGAGTTCCGCTTTTTATAATCGCACTCACGTGAAAACCTTTAGAGAATGTGCACTGAACAACGATAACAGGTTTAGCTCATAAATTTACAAGCAGTCTGCAAGGCACATTTGTCTTCCTAAGTAAAATATACACAGTAGGCTCACCATTCAAAAACAGCCGTAGTTTCAGACATCTGCGAGCCAACGCAGAACCAATGTAAGCCAAGCCAGTTGCGAGTGAAATTCTATGCGGCTACCGCCCTAGCTACAGCAGCAACAACCGGCGGTTCGTGTTTTAATGCTTTTTCGTCTTCAACTTTTCATTTTAAATGTTTGACGAAACGCATCTCTTCACATACCTGAACTCCATAGTCATCGTCATCAGCAAGCCCGCCAAAATTCAGTGCGTAACTTCACGACAACTCAAAATGCTATTTTTCGTACAATTTGCAGAAAACTTGCAAGGCTCCTTTCAAAAAGGAGCATTCACAGTAACTAGTATGCTCAGCGTTGCCTTAAAACACACGTACGCCATGCCCACAGAGGAAATGAACAAAACCATAACTACACTGAAACACAACTACAGTTAGGTTAAAGCACTAAGGCAAGAGGAATGCACTGTCTAAATGAAAAAGCTATAAAAATGGCAACCCACAAAAGCTACCCACTCAAGATCTAAAATTGAATTTGCTGAGCTAAAAATTGCGGCTGACTGAGAAAAAGAAAATTTTTGACATTAGGAATTATAGCACCAAAAAATAGAAGAATAAAAAAAAGACGAAGCAAGACAACAGGAAACTATTTTCGAATGCACACTCTAGCAGATAAGTATGGGGATGTTTGTCAGCACTTTCACAAACAGAGTAAAGGTTGCAGAAGACTACTATATAAGAGTTCTACAGCTAAAGAATAAGCCATCTAACAGTAAAAAAAGCCAAAGTTCAAAAAAAACTTAAGTTCTATGAGTAAATACAAAGTTAAAAAGAACGAATCAGAAAGATAATCAGAAGCGTAACCAGTAATGAATCTGGATAAGTATCCTACCTTGTGAGATTGAATGAAAAAAGGGAACGGAATAAATCCCTAAAAAACATGCCCCGCGAAAAGTCATCCAGTGAAATTGTTTACTTGATCAAACATGAAAAAGATCTCATGTTTAACAAGTTTTTTACGTTATCTGCACAATGTCTCACATACTGGCTAATCAAATGTACTAGTGAATTATAAAAACACAAATACGGAAAGAAAGATTTCAACAATTAGTCACAGGTCAACAGATGTTCCACTGTGCATAATACCTGCAATACAGTAGTGGTGCAGGCTCTTCTCACATTCTGTGGATCATAGCATGTGCAGAACCCATATATTTATTTGGCTTGCATAGACTACAAAAACATTTGTCTCGGTAGAGTCATCAGAAGCCACAGAGACGTTGTGTTGTCAAGCAGCTAGTGCACAATGCATACATGTATACCTTAGCAAAAATCTACAGGGATTTCACAGGAAAGCAGAAGAATTCCATTCGTGAAGTGAATCTGGCAAGGAGACACAATCTGAGCAATAGTTACAGCATGCTTAGCAGAAGTATTTCAGCCACTATGTTCATAAGAAACAGAAATAAAGATTAACAGAGAATATCTTCGTACTTATGCTGTGCACACCATGCCTTTTTGCAGTGATGCCAATGAACTACAAAGACGGAGAATCTAAGCCGGGAAATTGTTCAAGTAATAAGAAAACAACAAAGATAAAATGTTTGGAGGCTAAACAAAAAAGTGAGAGTTTGCAACTGGTAACCAGACACTAGAATCCTTACAACATCTGTATTAAATGCGAAGCATTTCTTTGCAAACTTGACGACTTGAGCGTATCTATCTATCTGTCTGTCTCTATGTTTATATTTGTCTGTCTATCTAGTTAGCCACCTACGACATTTAGCTCTCCTGGCCATTTAGATAGGGGTATTGATACCGAAATCGGTAGGGAATAACATGACTGTATGGCGAGCATAAGTGACTAGTCATAACGTGAAAATTATGACATATTTGTCAGCATTTACATTTCATGGTCTTGCTGCTCTTGCAGTAGTTTCGTTCACATGAGACATAATGCAAAACTGGTATGGCATGACATGACTGCCTGGTGAACAGAAGTTGATTGATATGTGGGGTTTAACGTCCCAAAACCACCATATATGATTATGAGAGATGCCGTAGTGGAGGGCTCCGGAAATTTAGACCACCTGGGGTTCTTTAACGTGCATCTAAATCTGAACACACGGGCCTACAACATATCCGCCTTCATCTGAAATGCAGCCGCCGCAGCCAGGATTTGATCCTGCGACCTGCGGGTCACCAGCTGAGTACCTTAGCCACTAGACCACCACGGCGGGGCCTGGTGAACAGGAGTGACAGACCCTAGCGTGGAAATCATGGAATCAATGTATTGTAAATCAAGACTACACGCCATGCTCATGGTGTGCTCTCGGTCGTTTCGCCAGCTTCACATATACCAAATTTGATGTTATGGGACGTTAATGAATGAGGAAGGTATATGATTGGTGCAAACATGATAATCATGAGATGTGTGTTATATAAGAACATGACTAAATTCCATGCTCATGATGCGCTCGCGGCCGTCTCGCTATCTTCACATATACCAAGTTTGGTATTATGTAGTGCGAACAGACAATGACGATAAATGACATGTTCAAACTGGTTAATTATGACATGCATGCCATGTAAATCATGATGACATGCCACGCTCATGATGCTCTCGCGGCCGTTTCACTAGCTTCACATATACCAAATTTGGTATTTCACGACGTGAATGGACGACGAAGGTAACTGACACGTCCAAAAATAATAATCATGACATGCGTGTGATGTCGAATATGACTAGAAGCTCTGCTCATAGCATGCTCGCGGCCATTTTGCTAGCATCATATATACCAAATTTTGTATTACGTGGCGTGAATGGGTGACGAAGTTAAATGACACACCCAAACACGACGATCATGACATCAATCATGACGACATTAGGAAAGGAAATGTTAAATTCACTGCCTTGGCTGAGCATGTGTCAGGCGGTCACACAATCGATTGGGGGAAGGCACGTGTTCTCGCTAGAAAAAAAGGACTGTTATGGCGTCCTTATCTTGAGTCACTCGTGATACAAACCACTCCGCGGACTTCAAACAGGAGCCATGGTAATCTGCCGTCAGTATATGCACGTTGCCTGCGTGATATTTGAAACATACATATGGTGAACTGCTTTACACGTGCTTTTATTTCATTGTGAACAAAGCTTCCGTGTGGAAGCCGAAACATCTTTTCTCTGTGTTTTTGTTTTCTTTTTTCTTTTTAAACTTTTACTTTGGTTGGCGCAGTGCCTCCAGGCTTTTTACCTACAACCATCATGACATGGAAGTCATGTGCGGCTTATATGTAGGTCTGCCTCGTAGCGTCGTGTTAATTTTGAAGCGACAAATCAATTTTTCTCATTCGTGCTTCGCATATCATCTGCCGATTTCTTTAAGTCAAATATTCACAGGACACTCTACTTATAAAAAGGTAATTAAGCAAAGAACATAGATGGGCTAGAGCACAAACAGCGGACACTCGCAAATCATGACAGAGAATTTATAAATGTCCCCAGAGCAGAAATTGGTAACTATTGTATGCTGCCTTAACTAACACATGGTGTGGAAAACACATAGTGAGAAAAACAAAAGTCAAGAACAAGTTAAAAACTACGTAACATAAAACGAAACAGAAAATGGTTGGCATAACATAGAGATACTAAAGAAGCAGGGCTGATTATAGAACAAACAGCTCTAGATGACAATTCCTAAACTGACGTTTTCTAAATTCATATGCCGCAAACAGCTGGGTCTAGTTTGTTTAGACTGCTGAAAAATATAAGCGATTGCTTTCATACGCATAGAAGTGCTTTCACCTTAACTGTACTTCTGCCTTATACCTTAACCGATCTGTATTCGTTTAACTAGTAGTGAGCCTGAAAATTAGCTTAAAATTAATGTTTATTATGAGTCAAACATTATCTTTCATTTCCAGTTTTTCTGATCTAATTATTCAACTGTAACCGGCAGGCGAAAAGACTTTGATGCATTTTCAGGAGGGCAGAATTAAGAAAGGACCGACGATTTGCTGGTGAAAGCATAAACTGCCATAGAAAGGTAGGTTTACTAAAAAAATGTAATCGTACTTAAATGGCGCACCGAAAAAAAGACATCGGCGCGCCGATCAGTTGGCGTTCGCGGCGACTGTCGGCGCACAACTCAACATCCTACACCGCTCAATGGCGTTTTTTGGCTCAGCTGCATTCACGAGGCGCGGTTACCTGCGAGGAGATTCGGAGGCCGCGTCTTCGGGTCCTTGTCTAGGGGCCTTCTCGGCAGGTTCTGGGACGGCACCGCATGTAGTGTAAGTCGTCTAATCCTGTAGCCTGCGTGCAATAAATGGCTGAAGTATGGGTGAAGCGCTCAAACACGGTTACAAGCTTACCTAGAAGTGGGGTGCACGGTGGGTAGCAGAAGTCACTGTCAACGAAGTTCTTGCTGCACACGGTCGATGAAGGCGTGGGGCGTTTTCCCATTCCGAGCTTCACTATCCACTTCTTCTTTAGCTTCGGGTCCTTCGGATAGATGTGAAAGCTAACACCCCGTTCAGTTGCGTAAGAAGTGCACTGAGGCACAGAGCAGTACCTCACCATTGCGCAGCACTCCCAGCAGATACAAGCGGCTGCACGGAGTTGTAGGAAACCAAGCGCTGAGCTTTCAAAATGAGTTAAAAGCGGAGACCCGCGGTTGCTAGAACAGCGTCGGTAGGTACCACACACCAGATAACCAACTGAACTGCTGTTTTGTCGAACACACAGTGTCAGGCCTCTGTGGCCAGGCCTGTGAAGGAAACCACGCGAACACTCAAATTGACGCCATACGATGATGATGGTGATTCCATGCTGTTTCTTTTTTAACGGGCGGGTGTACTTATAATTGTAATGACACACTAGCACACAAATATTTACAAAAGAAAAAAAAAGAATAATTGAAAAGAAAGAAAAAGCGCACAAGCACCGTACGTTTACTATGTTACTCTATGCACGTACTACGTAGACGTGTAGTGTCTGTGTTGCTGAGGGTCGATCGGTATCTGTTGGACTGTCATTTGGGGGAATTACTTTGACCAACACTTTTCATGCTTTCTTCAAGCTTCGTCTTGCGTAAATGCGCAAGGGAGATACGGTACGCACAAGGTGGAATCGATGGGATATCATCAGGCGTTCGCCGAGTAACCGAGGTCCGAGTAACAGTTCATGCTGTCACCAATACTGGCAATCAGTTTTCGAAGCAGTGTCTGTTTAGGTGGGCAAATACAAGTAAAAAAAGAAAATAAAACTCATGTTTATTTCCACAAAAAAAGGATCAAGCAAGCAAGCAAGCAAGCATTGTCTAGCTTAAATCGCCGACCCCCAAACATCTTTGCTAAAACTGGCTAACATTGCCGCAATGCAGTCGTACTGTACGGCGAAGGGCACGCAGTGTATTGAGGTAAAGCATACATAGGGGCACGCGTGTTTGTGTAAAATGGAAACGTAGCAGCACTGTCATTAGGCCTCGAGTGGGCGCCTTAATTCTACAGGCGCCGTCTCCTGTATCATTAATGGCAATACGGTGGACAGCAATGCCACCGACATCAGCCTTTGTAACAAGCCTATATCAGTTTACTCTAAAAAAACATTGTGTGACAAGCAGTTCACATAGCAAAAAGAAATGTAGTTTATTTCTAGTTTATATCAAAATTAATTCAAGATTGTTGCATTTCATCTCTCAAGAAGTGCTAAATACCTAAGCTGACTCCAGTGGTACTCCAAATTACCTTCCATCGCATATATGCTCCAAATAGAAAATGATTATTGAGCAAATATGCACTCAAGCTAAGTATACATGTGAGATGAACATCCATGTTTCACAAATTTTCTTTCCAAAGTAGTAGCTCGTGGTTTGCTTTATGAAGTTTTTCCAGTAATAAAAAATAGCCGCTGAAGAATGGTGAAAAATTATACGTGCAGTTTGTCAATGAAGCAATACGCCGGCCTTTGCAAAAATTGATTTCTGAAAACCATGCTGTGCCAGAACTATGAGCAAAGTGGTTTCAGCAAACTTATGGTGACCCAAAATGATAGCTCATGTTCATGCATCTTACGGGGGCTGCTTGTCAGTTAGGCGGGGTGGTAATTAGGCAAGTGCCTGTCATCATATGTGGAGATACATCGCATTTCTCGTCATCAAGTTTTAAAAAATGGATTTGAAGGAGAAGCTCGAAATGTCTTCTAGGGTTGAGTACACAGCAGTACTTAATAAATCCTCTATTGAGCCGCAAGGCTAGCAGATATTTTTAATGAACTGGCCACGTTTTGTAAAATCTCGTAGTTCAATATTTATTGGATTTACAGCAAGGTATGAATGAGGTAGGATTTTGCAATTGGCGGGATTAGACGTCTCTTTTGGGGGCACCACATGTTTAAGTTCACAAGACTGTACTGAAGCACTTACATGATATTTGAAGAGTGACATTCTGAACTTCAGCAGTTTAATTTAGACCTGATAAAGGTAAACTGGTTGTTATCTTCAGCCTGTGATCTTCCAGGAGCATTAGCATATGCCCTGTGTCTGTGTTTAGCATATGCTCTGCATACATCTTGGGTCAATGGTGCGGCATTAATGCCACATACATTGTGATAGTTAAACAGAGCTCATCGGCAAGGTAGTACAGCTTCAGGGAGAAAATAAATAGCAAAAGAGAGACTCGCATTGAAACAAGAAACACAGGACATGTATCAACTTGCATCTGTCTTTATTGGTGGCTTTTCTAGCAGATATGTAAGTAAACAGACACGTGCACAATATGGCAAGATGCAATCTCGCAGTCATTTCACACCCAAAACACCACAAAGCAACGCTCAAGGAACATTTCTGCCTTTCGAAGTTTTAACAAATGTGTCACTAACACACACAACCCCTGTCTGGAATCCTTATCTCATATTTGATATTGATCTCAACGGACATGCTCTGCCGTTCACGTAGCAATAAGTCAGATTTTTCAGGCCACTTTATAGAGACTGTAAGTGCACTCCTTAGAACCCCTGATCACCATAGGTCAGCACATAGCTCAGTCATGAGTCGACTCACTCTGACTCAGATAGAGCCGTAGGTCTAGGTGAGTAAACTTTTGGAGGTCCGAGTCCGAGTGAGTTTAAAGAGAGATATATATTTTTAGTGATTCTGAGTGAGTTATACTTTTGTTTGCTTACCAGTGATCATAGGCCAGATATGGGTCTATATAGTATAATCACTGTCACGGACGGCTATTTTCGGCGACACCGCGTCACGGCCATTAACGGGCGCCGTACTCCCCGACTGACCGTGAGAAACGGCGGCACATGAAAGGGAACCGATAAGTGCAAAATGGGGGTGCTCTCATTAGAACGTCGCCGCCGACAGTTAATCCTTTTGTAACCGTGGCGACGTCTGCAAGGTCGTAGAAGGCCGCGGTATACCCCGTACAAGGATTAGACTACAAGATGCCCGGCTGAGAGCTAAGTGGTTGCCCGTTCCCACAGAGAAAAGCGTGGGAAACGCTCTGGTGGCCAAGCCGTATGACAACAACCCGACAGGTTGTCACTCTCGCTAGTTGCGGGCCCTCTCCCTATTAAAAAGGGATGGGGTCAAAATATTTTTGGGGCGGAGTTTCCCCTCAATTAAACGCGCATGATTGGACCCAGGTAGAGGTCTCTTGTCCCCAAGGAAGAGAGCGAGGAGACACGAGGGGGATTTAAGCGCAGGATTTTGCCCTGCTAGGCAGACTAGTCGCTGACCAAGATGGTGTAGAAACAGATCAACAAGCATCTCTTCTAGAAGTTTTTAGTGTGGCTCTGTATCGGCTGGCCACCTAAACTTAGCCGTTCGTCTAGTTGTGACGCGATATTAACGTCTGCAACGTAGACATCGGGACTTCGCCTCGAGTTAGCTCAACCTGCTCGAAGTCACCTGCAAGCACTAGCCTCCCGGAGCCACCAGCGTTGCAACACCGCCGACATCGCAGTCGTGCCAGAACTCTCTTCGACTTCTCGCATCCGATCGTCGGGGACACAACGCTGCCGGTCATCACACGTATGCCTTCACCTGTTTATATCTTCGAACTTTCTCCTCCGTCGATTCTATTCTTGTTAGTTTGTGTAGTTTGTGATAGTTCTCTCGCGTAAGCTGATTTATTGTTTTGTATATATTTTTAAGTTGCATCAAGCGTGGATGTGCTTTGTTAGTTGTATTGAAGTGTTGTATTATATCCCGTGTGCTGCAATATCACTAGAGTAAAGTTGTTTTGTTTTCTGACGTCTCTGATCTCTTCACTGTCTCTGCTTGTGTGCGGAACGAACCAACCTGCTGTCATTCCCGTCGCCGACTTCGCGCTGGCGACGCTTGAGTGGCAGCTTGTAACAAAACTGGCGTCCGCGAGACAGGACGTTCCGTATAAGAGTAAGACAGTGAGGGGTGAACGAGAACCGTGTGGACAGCGTGTTGATAGGGCCGCACAGTTGAAGCGGTTGTATCCTGCAATGATTGCGCTGTTTTTATAGTGGCATTATAGTGACAGTTGCAGTATGGAGTGTATGGATTTTGATAAGTGGATCGCGTACGGTAAACAGTTAGGCCTCGAGGGCGCCGAACTGAGACAATGTGTTAAGGAGCAGCAGGAACAGGCGCTGGCGTTAGCCAGAGAAGAGCGGGCAAGGGCCCGGGAGAAAAGGGAAAAAGAAAGGGAGAGAGAGCGCCAAGAAAAGGAGAGAGAGCGCCAAGAAAGGGCGAAAGAACGAGAAGCGGCAAGGAAAGCGGCAAGGGAAGCCGGAGAACGGGAAGTGCAGTTACTGCAATTAAAGATTCGCCTCATTGAGGGTAGCAGGGTGAGCCGATCCAGCAGTGAGCACGGCGATGCCGGCGAGAAACTCTCATTTGAGCGAGACACATGATGTCAAGGGCTACTCACGGTTCTGCCTTGCGAGGCAAATGAAGCTGTTGCGCGACTCAGTCAGCAGAACGCGAACAACGAGGTAGTTAAGGCAGATAGGTTCCGGATGTTCGGAACTTCTGTCTGGACAAAAGAAGAGCAGCTCAGACAAGAGTCTGAAAGAGAGCGCGAAGCAGAAAGACAAGAGTCTGGAAGCAAGGCGCGTCGGAAAGCGTTGGACATAGAAGCGCGTCATGAAACGCCAGAACCAGAAATCGCGCTAAAAAAGGGCCTGCATATTCTCGAATGCATCCATATAAATGATGTAGAGAACGAGGCCTTGGCCGTCTCGAGGTAGAGACAGTATCAAAAAACGGTCCTAGCGAGGATGAGGTGTGTGCCAGCAGCCCTAATGGACTCAGTAAGAAGCTGGAAACCATCCTCATGCCTCGAGAGAACGTCTCGCGATCGTCACATGCAGATAGGGTTAGCACAGTGGCTAAACACAGCGAGAACGCGACGATTCAGGAGTGCAGCGATGCCATCGGAGAGGGCCCAGTTAATGGTTTCATCAGCATTAACAAAGATAATTTGGCCCGGCAGTCCGTCGTGACACCGAGTTCAAAATGTTTGAGCGTGGGGCAAAATGTAGCACAAGCTCCAACGAGATTCCCGACTTCTGAGGTCACGACGCGACATGATGAT